GACACTTTTGTAATGTGGTACCGTTCACCTATCACATCTCACCTACCGTTCACCTACCGGCCACCTACCACCCACCTACCTCCCACCTACCACTCTCTTGCTTCTATAAATAGAGAGGGTGTGAGGCCAAGGAGAGCAAGGGAGAAGATATCTTGAGCTACCACAAAGGAGGAGAGAATAGCTATAGAGTTAGAGAGGAGGAGAGCATCTTGAGGCCTTGTATCAAGGTGTCGCTTGAGAGGGAGGCCATCGAAGGAAGATGAGGGCTCATCTTTATGTATAAGCTATGTATTCTCCATTTCTTTTGCCTTAGTGAAATATTTGATTGATTCCCTCCCGTGGACGTAGATCCAGTTGGATCGAACCACGTAAATGATCTGTGTTTGCTTGTGTTCTTTTTCGTCTCATTTCTATGTCAGGAAGTACATATCTCACAACATATATAAATGAAAATCAGAGTTTCAACGTTATATTGGATCTTGTCAGAGAAGTAAAGAGAACTCACGGGTGAAGAAAATGAGCAAAGAGCCAAGCTCGAAAAGAGAAACCGAAGGCTCAGGAAGAACTCTATGCGTCTTCCATGGTTGTTGATCCATCATAAATCCTTTAATCTGAAACCCCTTACTTTGCTGAAAGCATTGGCCAAGCAACTTGCAGGGAACTAAGTGTATCTTGTCTCGCACGACCTTCATCAACCTCTTAATCTGCTTCGTAATGCCATCCTTCAGTCGCCTGAAATGCTTCGACATTACTTTGCAAGCCAGTGCAAGGTATGGCGTTGCTGCATCGCCACCTGCTAATGCTTCGAAGGACCAGACCAGAGATCTCATTTGCCACCGGTACCTTTTATATCTTCTTTTAACCTGTTTCATGATTAAGACAAGATTTTTGTCAGGTATGACTCGAATATCTGATAGAGCACATATTGGGTCAGGACCGTTAATATAGAGGTGTGTTCGGATTGCAACAGTCGTCGTGTTATAAAAGTATTTCGTTGTGTTACAGGAACATTCCATCAGCGTTATTTGTAAAAAGTGATGTGTTATTTGAGTATTATGTGGTGTTATTCGATTACATTACAGTATTATTAAAATATTCTCCCGTGTTATTTCAATTTTCATTATTGAAAATTGAAATAACACAGTCCCGAATCAACTAACACGGGAGAATATTTCAATTACACTTTATTTTTGACAAATAACGCTGATAAAATATTCCAATAAGACAGTAGAATATTTCTATAACACAACGACTATTGCAATCCGAATGTAGCACTACGTTCGGAGTCTTGACGTAATATTTTTTCTATCTGATAAGAGACGGATGCTGAAACAGAGCATAACGGAGCACAATTTTCGATAAGATAAAAATAAACTAAAATAAATAAGTATTTGTAAGAAGAAGCACACCTCTCCCAAAAGTCTCAGCAAGCTAACCTTCATCCTTTGCAGCTCAATAATATTCAAATTCTTAAAAGAGAAACTAACTGAAGAAGAAGAAGAAGAAGAAGAAGAAGATAATGAAGAAGAAGAAGAAGAAGAAAAAGAAGGCCGCCCTGCTGTCTCCCACTTCTTTGACAGCATCCCCTTATCTGATTCCCCCCCAACCACTTCATCTCCAACATTACAAATCATATGAAGCAATTCCTTCACTGGATTCAAATACTGTGAATTCTTCACATCACTCAGACATGTCATGTTCTGCAATTCAATAGAAAGAGAGAGCTCCTGATGACTTGCTGGGAACAAGTTTTTCATGGGAGGATTCATTAGAAAGGAACCGTTTCTTCTGTCCTTCTCCAAAGTCTGTTATTAAGACAAATGCATGGCGGCAAGTCAAAAAAATGTTAAACAAATGTCTGTTTGTATTTGGTACGATGATTGTGAGAAAAATTAGGACCGAATCTTTTTGATTGAAATTTTTATATAATAAATCTCAAAATTTCTCTTATTTTTTATTTTTGTGTTCATCGTAAAATAAATTTAAAATTTTGAGATCCACTGTAACTAATTATTTAAGTAGAATATCTTGATAAAAACTTCTTATTAAATATTTATATTTCTCATTTCTTAAAAAAATAAACCAGTTTTAACTTAATTATTAATTAAGGAGTTAAACACAATTGAGAGCCTAATCGGCTCGATTACAAGAAGCTTTATATGTATTTTTTTTTTAATTAATTTTATCTAAATTATTATAACAACAATGTACAACAATGGCTTCATATTCTGAAAAACGATGACAAATTGGTAATATTATAGAGAAATCACTAGATATATGTATGTATGTATGTATCTATACATACATATATCTATAAATACATACATACATACATACATACATACATACATACATACATACATACATACATACATACATACATACATACATACATACATACATACATACATACATACATACATACATACATACATACATACATACATACATACATACATACATACATACATACATACATACATATACATATATAGATACATACATAGATATATATGCATACATACACACATACATACATATATAGATAGATAGATGGATAGATAGAAATATATATATGTGTGTGTGTTGGTGTGTGTGTGTGTGTGTCTATTAATTTTAGCCAACCAATCAAAATGATGAGCAATTAACTTGAAAAGAATCTCTTACGTTAGTTTGAATTAAAGTAATAGACAATGGATTAAATGTGAACAAACTCTGATTTTACTGACTCTACAAGTTTAATTACCACTTTTCATTGTATGTAAATGGAGAATTATATAGAGAAATTAGTCTTTGGGAGTTCAAATTCAAGTGGATTGACTTTGGGTTTCATATATGAGTGGTTAGGTTAGTTTTCATTATATAAATTTAATCCGATTTGGAAGAATAAAAAATTTTGGAATGATAGGCGTTTGTTGGCAAGCAAAAAAAAAGTTATTTCTAACAACAACAACAACAACAATAACAACAAAGCCTTAATCCCACTACGTGAGGTCGGCTGCATGAATCCTTTTTCTCCATTGCATCCTATTTAGTGTCATATTTTTATTTAGTTCTAATAAATTAAGATATTTTTTTATACAAAAAGCACAAGTCTTCCTAGGTCTACCTCTACCATTCTTAACATAAGCGAATCTAAAACATCTACGCTCCTAATCAGATCATCAAATGATCGACGTTTAATGTGACCAAACCATCTAAGACGACTCTCTCTAATTTTTTC